TGCACATCTCTTACTTGTGTCTCTACCCATTGTTCTCTGCCTGTGAACACGTCGTTCTACTGACATGATCTCCCATTTCAGTAGCTTTTCATGTTACTCAATACAATGGACAGTGATGTCACTAGGGAGATTCGGGGGTGAGGATCACACCAGGTGACACTGTCAGAGGAAGTGACACCAAAAGGACTCTTTATTAAATTTTTGTGCAGTGTTTCAGCAGAAATCTATTATTTTTCATAAAAATATCCCTGTAGTTAGTTCTAACAACAAAAACATTTTTCGTAAACCCAGTTTACATGTATCAGTATACCTACAAAGCTAAAACGGTATGCTAATTTACTTTTACAACCTTCCAATGGGTTCTGGTCAGAGCTGTCATTATTACCCAATTACAGCGATGCTTCAAATCACATGATTTTATCTGCGCGCAGTAGGAGTCTGTGCCATTTTCATGGATGCTGGTGATTTCTGGCGCTGATTTTGTCAATTTTTCTGGTGTTTTGGCTACAATATTGTGGTAATTAGTATCTGTGAACCTATACCAATACCTTTTTTGAGAATGAAGTAGTAATTAAAGGAAAAGAAGGAGAAAAATGAAAAAAGGCTTCTGCTCAGTTACTAATAATGTTGTAATCCAGCGTAGAAAGGTTTTAAAACAATCTTGTTGTTAGTATTCCTATAATCTAAGAAATATTACATTTAAGCAGTTTACAACTATATTTATCACATATTCTATGGTTAAAATTGATGATAAACATACTAAGGATTCTGCATGGTCTGGTATGGGAGGGGGTCCATGGGGGGTGACATTATGAGTTACCTCAATGGGTGACATCAACGCTCGTGATGCCAGTGCCCATGGGCACTCTTCGTTTCTCATGTTTCTTGGTAGCATTTAACACTGTTAACACCCTTTTCCCAATGGTTTCAGTGACAATCCAGTCTTTTGTTTTTTTGTTACTGTTATTATTTTTGTTTGTTAATTTTTTGTTATCTAACTGGCTACTTCCTTATTTTCTTTGCTCATTATCCTTTTCAAACTAACAACTTTAAGTACAAGGTTCAG